AATGATATAATGTTTCATATCGTTCGGTATCGATAATTATTGACATTTTTTATAACCTTTTTTAAAACAAAGAGCAAATTAACGCAATTTATTGAGACAAACAACAAATATTAATACAAAACAGTCAAACACACAATAAAAATTAAACAAATATCTAATTTCTAATGTTTTATATGCAGATTAAATCTTGTTTCCCGAGGCCACAGGAGGGCGCAATGAGCAAAATGATGCAGCACATAATGTCAACGCAGGGAAATAACTGTCTATAAAAAAATATTTGCATTACGTCTAAATTATATAAATCAAATATAATTTCGTAAATTGCATAAACAATTATGAACAAAACAGCATCATGTATTTATGCATTAAGAAGGTGTACTGTCGATAAATATCGATACCGTTTTATCGCCCAGGCTTGATACAACTACAGCAATAACCAACAGCATCAGCAGCGTAGCAGATCTATTCCGCCAAGACCAAATACATTACCATTGTCATATCCATCACCATGCTAAAATCTTCCGAGAGTTGTCATGATTGAACTGATTTTTTTTGGAAAGTGTAAAAGCCTGAAGGAACAGATCTAATTTCATGAAGTTTTTAAATCATTCTTAACATAGTATAAAGTGGGCAATATGTTTAAAGCAAAATACACTCCTCTTACCTCTCCTACAGCATTGGACAGGATCTGGATGATCTTCTCATGAGGTGTAGCTACGACACTCTGTCCATTGATCTCAATGATACGATGACCAACTCGAATGCCGCCCCGCTCAGCTATTCCACCCCGCATTAAACTGCAAATCTATTACAGAAATCACGTTGACGGAATGTGACAGAATGTCAGACGCTCAGTACAGTTTCACAAACATAGTGTTATAAAATAGTAGTAAACAGCAGCTTACAATCCCATCTTCCACGCTGAAGCCCAGCTGATATTTGGGGTCTGGACGCTTAATGATCGCATTGGTGACAGGTGGACAGTGAACGATGCTGAGCTTTATTATCAAAAGGTTCTTTAAATCCTAGAGAATATGATAAATCAACGTTTTGGCACGAGATGCAGAAGAATTCAAAACTTTAGTTTTCATTTCTGGTTGGTCTTACTCGTATGATACTTTGGCAGGTGGCAATGGGGAGGCCCACCAGACTGGTGCCATTAACGGACATGATGCGATCGCCAATGCTCAGCTCTCCAGAACGTTCTGCAGGGCCACCGTGTAGCAGATTGGCTACTACCACAGTCGGCAAGATGGAGCCCCAGCCAGACTCCACGATCGCGAGGCCTAATATCTCTCCAGGCTTTTTTGTTATGCACACCTGAAAATAAAAAGAGGTGAATGGGTTTCTTCATGCTATCTAACCATAGCATTGAAAGCAACAACTTTCAGCACAGATCCACATAGAGGGGAAGACACCCTTACCTCTCTAATGTTTTCAGAGCGAGAAAAGTGAACCAGGTCTCCGTTATAAAGTTCTTGAGTGCCGAGGTAATCGCTGTACTCGCCTGGCCTCAGATCGCTAGCTTTTATTCCGTTAGCGTACAGAAACTGCTGATATGCAACACCAAAAGCCTGACTGATGGCCTGTGCGATGATCTGAGCCTAAAGAAGACACCAGTAAGAGTAAGAAACTATGAAATGTAGATCAAATAATACCCCAAAAGGCATATTTCTAAGTAAATGCATAATAAAACCCCTATAATAATGATAATGGAAAATGTATACTTTATCCACTGCAAACCAAATCTTTATCGAGGTGGACATCACACAGAAACATCTGCAGAAAACACTCACATCCTCTGAAGAAAACACGTGGCAGATCATCCAGCACTTCTTCGGTGGTGCTGCAGAGCTAGCCGTCGAGTCTGCTGATTTGCGATTGGCTGGCTTCCTGCGGGCCATCAAAACTATAATGTTCCCAATGTCTGCGATGTATGAAATCATTTGCAGAGCATGGTCCATCATGGCCTCCTGGAAGCATGAGAGAAATCAGCCACACATCAAAGAAGACAGCACTCACATCACAGAACATAAGAAGGACTGTCAGGTTTGTAATTTGTCTAACCTGTGTGTCAGCACTCAGTACTTTGATTCTCTGTGTAGAAATAAACAGATCAACCTCTGTCATAGGCTGAGACTCTCCTTCAGGTGCCTAGATAAGACATGCAAATATATCAAATGGTGTATTAGCCATGTTAAAACTGACAAACTAGATTTGTAGAATTTCTAAAGAAAATACGAGTAAAGGTTTCTCATGTAAAACTCGTCACCATAATGAAAGAG